ACAGATTGCTCACAATGCGTAAATTTGATCATAGGCGTGATTCATGCTGTAAAGACTTGACCACGTGACATACTCAGCGCAAATGCTGAACTGTGCTGAAGTCAATTGCGGGATACAGAATGTGAGCATGTGATAGGTGAATGTATAATGTTAAAATAGACACCACAACTATTCCATTGACAGTTGGTCATAGGGTGGGCTTTACTTGTCTAGTGTGATGATAAAAGTGGCAAGGGTGACTGACGATGTCGGCGAAACGTCTGAGAATGTAAGAAATACACAATCCGACGCTAGAAATGATCATGGATGCTGTGGCAAAGGACTCCATACATGATATTTTTATCTAGGTCCCTTTGAAAATGTGACTAAGTTTCGGAAACTAGGTTAAGGCATTTAATTCCTTGCCTTCGTCTAACTAAATTCAAACTCATTTAAAGCTGGCATGGCTTGAGAAATTAAAAAAATTTACTTTATCGTTTTGAACCACTTGCTAAATTAATCTCATAACTCTTGCTTTTTATTGATTACTCCTTAGCCAATTCTTCCGTCGAGCCTATCAGCGAAATTCCATCCATACAGGCCATCATGGTTACTACTCAGGTTCAACAGGGGCTTAATGCTCCCTTGATGGATTTGCCTGCCTCTGATGATTACCAAAACGATATTCCTTTCAAACTGACGTCAGTATTGCCAGCCGAATTACCAGCAAATGATGAGGCTCAGGTAATGTGGAGATCTGGGCAATGTGTCTCTCCAGAACCCGAGCGTGAACCCTTTCCGTCCTCGAGTCAGCCCAAATGTCTTCCAGAGGTAGACGAGGAAATTCAGTTGAAGGGTAAATTTAATTTTGTTTTGACTTATGCTAAATTTTATAAGATGAGATGTGCTAATGATGTAGAAAACTCGTTGCTCACATATTATTATGGAGATTAGCCGCATACAAATTCAACAGGATTGCCACTTGATCTCTTAATGCAGTGATTCCCAAACTGTGCCGCGGCTTCTTTACAGGGGCCCCGCGAAATATTGTAAAAGTTTCAATTTGAGAAAATGTGTAGTGATTTGTAGGCTCATCCATCACATTAATTATTAAATATTAATTTAATGTTAATAAAGTAAATAAAATAATGAAGATACACGGGTTTTATTTTTTTTATCACTTACGAATAGTCATACTTAGAGTAGGGAGCCATGGAAGAATTTTAATTAAAAAAGATGCCCATTTCGAATAAACCAGTACAACTTTGGGGGCCTGACAGTCAGGGAGCTGGGCAGACGGATAAGCAAACCATCACGGAAATTCGGCATTATGCCCAAAATGCACTATAAATTCACTTAAGATGCCGCATGCGACCAGAGATAAGCGCCCAAAATTTGCTTAGATAACATGGGTTTAATCAAGGTAGAGAACTCATGAAGGAAAGGCCTGATACCTGAAAGCATGGCAATCAGAGCTTAGGCGCTCTGCTGTGAGGCGGCAGTGTACGTGCTTCTAGGGCCCTGAGAAATAGCGCCTGGAATGAAATGCACACAGGGACTGGAACCGATTGAAATCGGATACACGAGACAATGAAGAGATCCGGATTGGAGGCCTGAGTCGGATAGGCCGATGGAAAGAGAGGGGTCGGGGTAGATAGAAAGTGTGATGGGGCCACACTAGAATTGCTACAAAGGAGAACACATTTTGACGAGTGGAATGTAAACAAATGAGAAGTTGTGATAGGGTGGAAATGGGATAAGAGGGTAAAGAGTAGATAGATAGGCCAGGACAGAAAGAGGAGTGATAGTGTAACCGTTTTTGGCAGAACGTTTGTCGAACAATTGACTTCACTTGTCTCTTTGACGAGTTCGTAACTTGGTGCGGAAAATGAAAAAACTCACTGATGATGCCGGCGAAACGTTTGAGAATCTACCAAGTCCACTGTCTGATGCTGGGAATCATGACAACTACTA